AAAACCATGAATTCGTGGACTTGTGCTGTTCAAAGGTCAGCTGTAATTACAAATTGCGATGAGGGCCAATGAAGGAAACAGACATCACTAGACGTCTCGCTGTTTCACTAGCGAGACAGTCACTTTAGTCAGGATGGTCAGGGCGGGCCTCTCCAGAAGGTGGCATTTAAGCTAGGTTCCAGAGGATGAAAAGGATCAGCCACGGGAAGAGCAGGGACAGCCGTCCAGGCACAGGGTACAGCATGGCAAAGGCCCCGGTGAGAACACTCCTGATGACCGGTGGGCTGGAGGACAGTAAATGAGGGGAGTGGCAGGAAGTGACAGGAAGACAGCAGAGCCAGCCTTGCAGGTCCTGTGGGCCAGGCCTAGGTGTTTAGGCTAATTCTAGTGCCTCGTGGGGAGCCGCTGCCGAGTTTAAGTGGGGTGTGGTGCTCACCAGATCAGGGAGGGCGGGGAGACCCATTCAGAGGCTCTCACTGCGCCTGTACCACGCGGGTGCCACCAGCTCCCTTTCTGGAGGAGACTGCGTCTCAGGACAGGAACCTGCCTGAGCCCACACGTCTGTCAGGGGTGCAGCTGCCCAAGTCTGTGTCTTCAGGTCTCGTTTTCTTCCCACTTCTGTACGAGACTCAGATGTTGGCAGGACGGGCGCCTTCCCAGCTGAGAAGCTAGGAGCAGCGTGGTCCCTAGGGCACCGGGCTCTGTGGATGCCAGCTGCCCCAGACTTCTCTCCAAGGGAGAGGAGGTGGCGGATGGGAGCTGAGGCCCCAGCACACCCCATAGTCACACGGTACAGCTGAGATCAGAAAAGAGCCGTGTGTGTCTGCTCCCCTCTGGGCCTCAGTTTCTTCAAATGTCAAATAAGGTGGTTGAGCTGGATGCTTTTCCAGCTCCTCACTTCATCCACCCATGCCCACTGGGCATCTGGCATTGTATTGGAAGGTTACAGTCCAACCAGGTACTTACAGGTTCATAAGTAAGTAATTAAAATAGTCACCTCAACTCGGCTCGGCATGGGGTCTTAGGGAAGACTTCCCAGAACAGGTGATACCTGCGCTGAGTCTTAAAGGGATGTAGGAGTTCGCTTTATGACAAAGGGAGGGCATTCCAGGTAACAAGAGCAAGAGTGACAAAGGCCAGAGGTGTGGAGGCGGGTCTGGGGGCGGGCACCATATGCAGTTCACTGTGTAGACCATCAGGCAAGGCTTGGGGTCGTGGGCACTGAGAGGTGGGCATGTGCCAGCCCTGGGGCCTTGGGAGACCCTGAGGAGTTTGGGGGGGGCTATTGTGGATTTTTTAAAATAGCAGTTTTGTTGTGCTGTGACTCACACACCATACAATTCCCCTATTTAAATAGTATAAGTCAGTGGTTTTTAATATATTCAAAATTGTGCAACCATTACAATCAATTTTAGAACATTCTTATCACCTCAAAAAGAAACCCCATTCCCCATTGGCCTCATTCCCCATTCTCTGCTCTCCCAAGCCCCTGGCAACCACAAATCTACTTTCTCTCTCTATGGACATAGCTATTCTGGAATTTTCATAGAAGTAGAAGCACATACATGTGGCCTTCTGTGACTGGCTTCTTTCGCTAAGCATAATGTTTCCAAGCATCATCGTGGTGTAGCATGGATCAGTCCTTCATTCCTTTTCACGGCCACATAATACTCCATTGTAAGCCATTGTGGATTTTGAAGTGACACAGAAAGTTTTTCACTTTGGAAAGCTGGTCCTGGAGGGTGGGCAGGAGAAGGCCAGATGGCCAGGAGAAGCTAAGGAGTGGGTGGGAGGGCAACAGAGAAGAGCCAGGACAGGGCACTGCTGGGGAGGGAAGACCTGGTAATTGGTTGGCTGCAGGGGGGAGGGGGAGGAATGACAGAGGGAAGGGTTTTATGAAGCACAGTGCCAATAGCTACAGAAACCACAGAATGCCCAGCGGGAGGGCCAAGGGATGGCTGGGCAGCACACCTAATGAGAGAAAGCTTCTGGAGGAGGCAGCCTGGGGAGTCTGAGAGGGGGCCAGGGCATGGCGATGGGAGAGGACAGCCGGGAAGGCGGTCCAGATGGAGGACTGGCACGGAGCAGAGGGGGCAGTGGGCAGCCACTCACCAGCCGGGCCCAGGGAATCGCCAGCAGATGGAAGAGGCATGCTAAGCTTGGGGAGCCAGGAGGATCTTGGTCTTGGAGCCAAAACCCTTTGGCATCTATCAGGATGGTCTTAGACCCTCACTGGAGCCCTGTGCCCCCATTCTACGGAAGAGAAAACTGAGGCTCAGAGAGGTCAACTGCTCAACTACAGCCGGGGCTGCCCCTTTATCTAGCCAGCAGGAAAAGGTTGGTGCCTAAGAAGAAGGTGAGAGGGAGAGAGGGCAGGAGGACTCAAAGGCCCCAGAGCCAGCATGGCAAAGTGGAAAGAGCCCTGGGCAGACACCCAGAGCAGAAGCTGGCAATCCCTGCTCAGCACTCAGACCGTTGACACAACATGAGTCGCATAAAGGTGGTGTAGTGTGTGGTTGGGGAAGTGACCCCTGGAGTCAGACCACCTGGGATCGAATCCCAGCTCTGCCACTGTAAGCCCACGTCCTTGGAAAGTTACTCACCTCTGTGTTTTCGTTCCCCCATCTGAAAATGGGGGTGATAACATCACCTCCGTCATATGCTGGGTGAGGCTTGGATAAATTATTATCAGTTAAGTCCTTAGAACAGCGCCAGCATTTCATAAGTACTCAGTAAATGTCAGCCATTTCTTATTTGTGATCTAGAGCCGTTTCCCCATCTGTGCAACGGAACCCCAATAACTCCCCAAAGGCGCTCATTGCCATCCTTGCTGGTGTCGCTCTAGCCTGGTCGGTATATCAAAGTCCCTTCCCCCTCACCTGGCAGCTCCTTAAGGACTGAGCTGGAGCTGGTTCTTCTCCAAGATCCCCACAGGCCCTGGTCAAGGTGGCATCAGTCAGGTGGTTGTTGATTAGGACGGTTGCCACCTTCTGGAAGCAAAGTAGGGCCGGGGGCTGGGGGGAGGTGCCGTTCTCAAGCAGCAAGCCCTGAGATTGTAACTGCAACCCCTAACCCCTTCCAACCCTGGGCCAGTACTGTTCATCGATTACAATTTTTACAGCGACTTTATGGGGAACCAGATAGTTTAATAATGCCCCGGAATTGCTTTAGGCATTTTTGCCTAAATTAACCAACTGTCATCCTCACCATGACTCTAGGAGGTGGACACTATTGTCCCCATTTTACAGACGAGGAGACAGCTTAAGCAACTTGCCCAAGGTCATAGTGCTGGCACAGGTGGAGCTGGGATTTGCCAGGCAACCTGCATGCTAATCACCATTCTTCGCTGTCTTTCTACTTGCACAATCTCCAAAGCCCAAGCTCTTTCCACTTAAGCAGGAAGTTTCTAGAAGTATTTATATGGAGCATCTGAGTGCCAGGTTCTGTGCCAGGGACAGGAGAAGGAGCTGTGAATCAGACATGTGTCCAGTCCCGGGGGAGCCAGGAGCTTGTCCAGGAGACCCCTTGATGAATAATGACGGCAGGGGAGTAAAGCCCTCTGAACTCAAGAAATGTAAGCACCAAGGAAAATGGGGCCTCTGAGTCTGGGGCTGGCTGAGAGGTTGGGGACGTCATTTGCTAAGACTTGGACTTGAAAGATAAGCTTGAAAACTGAGGCTGGAACAACTATTTGGGCAATTTATATTAGCCGTTTACATATGAGGAAAGGATGCTCAGAGAGGTGGTGTTGCTTACCAAAGGTCACACAGTACTCTGGCATGGAGTGTGCTCCAGGTAAGGGTCCCTGGCCTGTGGATAGTTTGGCCGCATTTCATCCCAAGGAGGAACTTGCCCCTTGCAAAGCTCTTCCCTGTCCACCTTCTCACTTACACCTTGATGGATCTCCCCCAAGGCACCTGGGATTATGAACCCCAGTAAATGGAAGAAGAAACAGGCCAGGAAAGGGGCAGGGCCTAGAGCCCAGGCCTCCTGCTTCCCAGCCCAGGGCCAGGAGGAAGGGTAGGGCGGATTGGCACACAGGCCCACACAGGAGTGGTCACCTCTTGTAGAACCTAAGCCCTGAGCTACAGGGCCTGAACCCAAATCCTGAGCAACCCCCAGAAAAGGGAAGAAGGCCAAAGACCCTGTGAGATCCCGGATGGCAGAATACACACCAAGTACAAACACTGCCCTCCTCAGGCTGTCCCTGGTACTGCAGACCCCTTTATTTAATAAATTGATCACCTACCATCCTAACAGCTACGATTCATTGGGCACCTATACTGTGCAAAGCCTCGTGTCATGTGTTTTACACACTCACACCAAATGCTCACAATGGCGCACAGAAATGGGCCTTAGAATCTTAATTTTACAAAAAAGGAAACTGAGTCTCAGAATGGTTAAGCCACTTGTCTAGGGTCACACAGCTGGTACAAGGCCAAGCTGGGACTCAGACCCAGGTCTGTCTGCTTCCAAAGCCAGTGTTCTCTCCTGCTCCACCACATTGCCTCTCTACGTGCTCTGAACTGTGCTGGGTCTTTTCTGTTATAATGCAATCATCTCAATCATCTGGGACCCAGGATTCTAGTTACAGGAATCAGGGCCCAACCAGCCATTAGTAAGCAAGACTGGGCCACAGGCACTTCTGCAGACCTCTTCAGAGTCTTTAGACTAAGTCAGGATTGGTCCTAGAAGCTGTGGCCCAGCCAACCTGGAGTAGGTAAGGAAGGCTTGCCGGAGGCGCCAGCTAAACATATAGATAGCTTTAGAGACATGAAAGTGGGTAGCCTGGAACCTTCTGGGCACAGCTAAGACTGCCACGTTAGAGAGTGGAGACCCCCAGGAACTTTAGGAGGTGGTGTTTCTCAACAGGGATACTGTGTGGCCCCTTCCACGAGGCCACATGGCCCTCACGATGCTGTGTGCCCCCTCCGTGAGACTGCATGGTCCTCTCTGAGTCCACTGGTTTACTCAGTCACTCTCTTTGTCTTCTCTCCCAGGTTGCCCATCTGGAACCTTCAAGGCCAACCAAGGGGACGAGGCCTGCACCCACTGTCCCATCAACAGCCGGACCACTTCAGAAGGGGCCACCAACTGCGTCTGCCGCAATGGCTACTACCGAGCCGACCTGGACCCGCTGGACATGCCCTGTACAAGTACGTCTGGGGCCCCTTGAGGGCAACGTCTGAGTCCACAGTCTCCCGCAAAAAAGCCCAGAGTGAAGGTTGGGCGGCTGTCCGGCTATAGCCAGCCTTTACCAAGTGAGGAGCAGCCAGTACCCGGGGGGAGGGGAAATGGAAAACTGGTTAGAAAAGGACCATCCTGGGGTAGCTGCCAACATGCAGATACCACGGAGCTGCCATCTGGCTCCTTACCCCCTTCTCTTAAGTCACATAGAAGATAAAGTCCAGGTCTTGATTCACAAAGGGACAGAAGAATGGCAGGGTTGGCAGAGAAAGAACCAACACAGGTGGTATCTGTGGCAGAAAAGGCTGCCCGGTGTTCTAACCTGGCAACAGCTGCCTGAGTCACAGGCCAAGTTTCTCTAAGAAAGGGTGACTATGAGGGCAGTGTCGCAACCCCTGCATCACACAGAATGGCATTTGGCTGCAAGTAACAGGGAGTTGACCAGTGGCATAAACCATAAGGATTTATTCTCTCACATAATAGAAGCCCAGAGACAGGCAGTCGTGGGATCGTATGGGAAATCCATGAGGTTGTCTGGAACCTGGCTTTCTCTTTCTGCTCTGCCATTCATAGCATGTGGTTTCTATCGGGTCACTCCATAGTCCAACATAGCTGCCGAAGCTCCAGCCATCACACATGTTGTAGGCAGCAGAAAGAAAGGGCTAAAAGGATGAACAAAAAGTCCTAACCAACAACTTCCACTATAATCAGTAGCCTGCACTTAATCACAGGAGGCTGGGAAATACAGTCTCTTAGCTGGACATACTGCCACCTGAGTCAAACTGGGTTCTGTTGTGAGGAAGAAAGGAAAATAGATATTGGGTGGGTATAGCCCCCAACACAAAAAGACTGTCCCTAAGTAACAAACACCAAGGAGGTTGGCATCCAGGAAGAAAGGTTTAAGCAGATGTGCTGCAGGATGAGAGTTATATTCTAGAAACATCTCTCTGGTGGGTGAAGAAGAGACAGTATTTGGAGGAAGCCTTTTGGGAGATGTGGGCTGGAGCCAGGGCGGAAACATACCCCACAGCCCCCACTGACCGACGCCCTCCCCCTCCCCCTC